GCCCACTGAATCTCCTTGCTCCTCCACACTGAGGGCAGTGCCCCTAGCCCTGATTCCTCCCCTCCTGGCTGAGCCCCACTGTGAGCTGTAGACTATAGGGCTGTATCCATGGCTTAGCTCAGCTTTTCGACCTTCTCACCACCCCAGTGTGTTTCCCTTTGCTCACTTGTCGATGTTTCAACTCACAGATTTCTCAGGCATGTTTGTGCACTGATCAGGAAACCATGTGCTCAGTTACAGCAGTTCAGACTGGTGAGACTTCAAGGGGAGAGACCACAGGAATCTCTCAGGCCACCTTCCTCTGATGTCCCATCCACTACTTTCAAAACATGGCTTTTATCCCACAGAATTTGGTCTCATTTCTCTTTGCTTTTTCCCATTGCCCACAATATGGAATTATATAAGCTCACACTATAGACATGTTTGCTTGGAAAATTATAGCTCTATTTTTCTTCTTCTCTTTAAACATATGTATTGAGATAGTATTGACCAAGAAAGAACTGCACAATTATAAATTGTTTGATTCAGTAAACTCTGAGATTTTAATACATCATTAACACATCATCCAAATCGGTATACTGTACACATATCTTATCCTTTCCTCATGTTCCTTTGCAATACCTTCCTCTCAAACTTCTTGGAACCCAACCCAGGCCCCAGCCAAACACTAATCTGCATTCTGTCAATATTGGTCTGACTAAATTAGATTTTTCTTGAGTTTATACAAATGAAATCATGCAGTACTTATTCTCTTTTGTGTAACTTCTTTCACTTAGCAAAACTGACATATTGTTATGTAGGTGATACATCATTAATAAAAATTCAGCTTGTTTGGAGACACACACACACACACACACACACACACACACACACACACATATTCTGCCCTATATCTGACATCATGAGGACACATTTTTTAGGAATAAAATTTCTGGGTCAAAAACTAATAGTGAAATTTGCAACCTTGCTTCACAGTATATAAAAGTGGCTGATAAATTTTTAAGTTTATAGCTATCCCAGAAACATTTGCTTTTTATGTGGTATCAACTCTTGAAAAAAAATGAGTAGCAATTTTACCTGTAAAATCTAAAGAATTATGACAGAAGAAAAATTTGAGAACAAATGAATCTAAAATCATGTTCCTAAAATTATGCTACTAAGTCTGCCAATGTATAAAGCCATCCTGGAAACATAGCATATAGGTTGCTTTCTGCTAGCATAGAAATGTATGAAATAAATGCTTTAGAGATCCAATCATAGTGTGAAAATGCAGCAATAAAAGGAGGCAACATTGTCATCCCAAGCATTTAGGAGGATGACTGATCCCCAGAGCAGAAATAGGCTATCAGCATCATGAAGAAACATTTTCCAGGGAAAGCTTGGGAACTAATTCTCACCCACCAGTAAATCTGTTCATCAAACATATTTTCTGAAATACATCTGCCACTTGCAACATGTGATTATGGGTACAATTAACAGCTGTTGTTAGCTCTGCTTCACCTCATTAGTAATCATGGATTCCCAAGTTATAGGGTTGATTATAGCTTTACAGGTTCTGAAAAACACGTCTCATTTCACACCTATTTAATGCTGAACGTATTTAAAGTTCAATGAGTTTTTGAAGAACTCTTTTGTTTTTACTGAAGTCAAATTGAGAGTAAGTCCAAAACAAACTTGTAATGATAAATTAGTTATGCCTCAATAAAAAATACATGACTCCACCATAAGCTAGAATAAGTGAAGAAGTGCACTCATATATATGTGTCTCCCTAGTACTTGCTGATTTTATTATGCAGATTAAAATAATAATAATTAGAATATGTCACTAGTATATGAAAAAAAATTAAAATATTTGTTCAAACATATAAAACATTTGTTCAAAGATTTAAACTGTTTGTTCTAGTTCATAACCATAAAACACATTTCTGAAAAGCAGTAGCTGGGAAGGAGAGAGCAGAGCCACAGCCTAGTTATATTGACAGTTGGCCATCGAAGTGCCTGGAATTCAGTAAAGAAAAAGGAATGCTATCTTTGACATATTTCTTCATATTACCAATTTGTTCTGGTGTCTGTAGTCTAATTTACTTTTTCGTATTAGATGTAAATATAGGGATCTGAAGTGTGCTTGTCAATGGTAGAACATACAAAACAAACATAAAGCATTACCACATAACAGAGAGCAACCAACTAAACCAGATTTCAGCTTTTGCAAGCTCAGTTCTCTTGTAATCTTTTTACTTGCTATTCTCAGCCTTTATGATTGGATCCTGTCCCTGCAGAAGATATTCATTAAAAAATTATGCCAATAATATTTTTTAAAATTATTGTTCAAATTCAATGTAAGGAGATCAATAAAATGATGTTTTAATAGGCAATCTGCTGGAACACAGAGATCGCTTTGTTCCTAGGTAGAAGACGTTTATCAGTTCTTTTTGGTCATTTGTTGTAATCTGGTGCTTTTATTTTTAATAGGTACACCAGAATAGCCTATTCAATGTTGAAAATAGAATATAGAATATTGGTTGCTAAAGAGGAGAAAACATATCCCTGGGTTTTGAAAAACTGCAGGACATTATTTGCACTGGGACAAATTTCTGAATATAGACCTGAAAGTTTGCAGCATTAATGTTAAACTGAGCTATTTCTAAATCCTTCATGAATTAACTTGAAAACAGTACTTTTCAAGTTTGAACCTAAAAGTAGATCAGCCGAAATTCCAACCTATTTTGATTCCACATAAGTTCCAACTGTGTCAAAGCTAGATTTGCATGTTAGAACAGTTAACTATTCCTCAGTCATAGAAACTGTCATACTAATATCTAGTCTAGGGCAAATAGCAGTGGGCAAACAGGGATTTTTATTTTCCTCTTTGATATTCATTGTGAACAGTAGGAAGAAATCCAAGATCTATTCAGCTATAAGCAGATATAATGTTTAACTATTGACCTTTCCAATAATGGAGATAAATATATGTAGGTGAATATTATGCATTGGGTTCCATTCAATGCATATTAGTAGATGTGACTATGTTGTTTAACTTTGCTGTCTTTGTTTTCATTCCAGATTGTTTTACTCATAAGCAGAATTAAGGAAAATATTAGTAAGCCATTTTTTAATGTTTCAGTGATTTTCTCAGCCCACATTAACAACTAAATTGTAAATAGGTTGACAACTAGAAATAAACACTATATCTGATTTCATTTTAGCACTATTAAGAAACAGATTAAAATTATATGACTGTCACCCTCAATTTTAGTACATTAATAGAGATCATACAAATAAGACCTATCTCAGATTCATATTTGACAAAGAATTCTTGGTTAAAACTAATAGAGTTTTTTTCTTTTAGGAATATATATATATATATATAATTATGCATTTTATACATTCATTATTATATCTAGATTTCTGATTATCCTCTACCTAGGATTTTGCACCTCAGAATTATAGCCACTCTTGTGCAGTTACCATGTGTCAAATGAGCTTTTCAAACACCCCCAAATATTTCTATAATAATTATGTTGGAAAATTACAATCGTGATTGTTGAAAACTTGTGGGAATACTATCATTTTCATGCCACTGTTTCATTAGAAGAATGACAAGAGGGTGATTGACCTGATTCCACATTTTGGGACCGGGACTGAGGTACAGAAAGAACTCACTTTGAAGCAATATTTGTTAGTCTGAATAAATTATTTACAAATGTTAGTGGGAAAAAAATTAGGCAAGCACCAATATGTACTATGTTCAATTGCTTAAATCATTTTTGAAATCTGAGTTTATTAACATATGCCTTAAATTCAGCATAATTCATCTACTAATACATTAAGTTGCATGTTCTTTATTAAAGCAACCCAAACAAACAAAAACACATATCATTATCTTCAACCAACGTTTAAAAATTGCCAATGTTTAGAAACCTAAATATATATTACCTATGTTTGTTAAAGTCAATGCCTGATAGTAAATAGATTACAGATTTATAATGGGAACTATAATTCCATAATTCACCAGACTAAAAAGGAGTTCATGTGTTAGGTGCTTTTAATAGATACCAAGAAAAATGAAGAGAATACCAGATGCTCATTAGTCTGTTAGTTTTCTGTAGGTGTGCGCTCTTTATTCTACCCTGTTTATACCATGGTATGTCACCGTGCTATACAAACCTTGTCCATGGATATGCCACATGAGATTCATCTACGTTTGTTAGAATCCTAGCTCCCACACTTGACCTGCTGAATCAGAATTTGTTTTGGGCAAGATTCCCATGTGATTTATATATAAATATTAGAGGCCCATTGCGTGAAGATTTGTGCAATAGGCCTTCCTTCCCCTAGCTGCCGGCACTGGTTTTCCATAGTCACCCAGGACCCAGGACCCGGGACTTTGATCTGGTCATTACCTTCTGTCTTTGCTCCAGCCAGAATCTTCGCTGCAGCCAGAGGCTTCAGTCATGGCTGTGTGTGGAGCCTTCAGTCTTTGCTGTGGCCAGAGCGCCACTCCCGTAGCTCCCTTTGCCCCCTGCCCTCCCCCTCATAGGAGGCATCCCGCCCAGCCTGGCCACTCCTCCACACCTGTGCTGCCCAGAGGCCCAGAGTGGCTGGGGGGCAGGGCCACTACCATCTTAGTTGGGTTAATTTGCATACTCACTTCTGATTGAATGGTGGGTGTCACAGAGGCATGGTTAATTTGCATTTTTCTCTTTTATTAGTGTACATATTAGTTAACATTCTACTTTTCTGCTTTCTTCTATTTTTTAAGGGTTAATGTGCTTAGTTTAGGCTCATCTAGATAATCAAGGATAATATCCATCTCATTTTTTTAAAAAATATATTCTTATTGCTTTCAGAGAGGAAGGGAGAGGGATAGAGATATAGAAACATCAATAATGAGAGAGAATCATTGATCAACTGCCTCCTGCACATCCCCTACTGGGGATCAAGCCCACAACCCAGGGATGTGCCGTTGACCAGAATTGAATCCAGGACTCTTCAGTCCACAGGCCAACGCTCTATCCACTGAGCCAAACCAGCTAGGAGAATTTTTTAAACCTTAATCACATCTTCAAAGTAACTTTTACCATGTAAAGTAACATAATCACAGGTTCCAGTGATAAGGAGATGGCCATCATTTATGGAGTGACGTTATTTTGCCAACCATAGAATGATACAATTTTCATAGTGACATCTTTCATACCTAGACTAATGAGAATTATTCAGAGAACTCTGTGATAATGTCATCTCCTTTTCATTTGGAATAGATTAGATAGACAGATTGGAGGAAGATATTCAATTCAGCTCTATTCTTTGACTAGTCATTCAAAAGCAATGTTTTTACAACAGCCTCTCCACATTCATTTATGCTCATAAGGACTCCGTGGACACATGTTCTTATGTGTTCTCTTAAACATAATTCCTATTTATCTAATGCAATTGACTCTCTCAAGTTTAATATAACTGCTTCGTATTTCTCAAGTATTGCATGGGTCCATACTATAACAAGTAAATCAAGTGCAATTAAATTACTAAAAGCTGCCACAAGGGCTCCTGAGTATGAATAATTAACAAAGTACACATAATCATAGAATTGTAATAATGGAAACAGCCAAATATACACTAGTGACTCAGTGAACGATTCATGCACATTGAAAGGAAATTAATTAGAAGGTGGCCAGTGGGGTGGGACTGAGTGAGAAGGGCCAGACACACCCTGGAGCCAACCTCCCAGGCTCCCTCCCTGGCATCTTCAGAGTGAGCAGAAGTCCCTCCAGCAGGTGGGGCCCTTCATTGGCCTTGCTTGCGGGGATCAGGCAGAAACTAGCTCTCCGACATCCCTCAAGGGGTCCCAGAGTGCAAAGGTCACTCTGCAAAGTTGCTGTCATATAGGGAGTGGAATGCAAATGCAATTGTCCAGTAAACCAGATTCTGGGCCAACAGTGCAGCAGCAACATAACCCATGGCTGAAGGTGGAATCGCATTGCCCCACGAGTAATCGGGCTCCCTCCTCTCTGGTTTCGGTGTGCGTCACCCAAGAACTGCCGCTTCCAAGTCACTCTAGCTCGTCAGCTCCTGTGTTGAGTGTTTGCCCCCTGGTGGTCAGTGTGTGTCATAGTGACTGGTTGGACAGTGGGAGGGACACTTAGTGTATTAGCATATATATATATATATAGTCTAAATGACAGTTACTTTTTAGAAAATTTTTCCCTTTAATAAGGTATTACAAATGTGTCCTTATCCCCCCCACCCTCCCAATCCTGCCCTCACCCTCACTCTCATCCTCTCTTGTCTGCGTCCATTGGTTATGCTTATATGCATGCATACAAGCCCTTTGGTTGATCTCTCCCCCTTACCCCCACTCTCCCCTACTTTCCCTCTGAGGTTTGAGAATCTGATCAATGTTTCTCTGTCTCTGGATCTGCTTTTGTGTAAATGACAGTTACTTTTTAAAATAAAAATTCAAAACAGCTCTCAGCATTTTCTGACCATGTCTTGATCAGAACATTTTGTTAATCGCCTCTAACGTTAAGAAATATTAGATGAACTAATCATCTTCAAACAGTGCTTGGATTCATGAGTCTCTTTTCTTTCAGATACTCTGTTGATCGGCACACTGATATGGACCGGATTTTCAGTATCCACCCAGAAAACGGCTCTATTTTCACTTTAAAACCCCTTGACCGGGAATCATCTCCCTGGCACAACATCACCATTATAGCCACAGAAATCAGTGAGTTGAGCATGCATCCAATTTAACACAGTATTTTCACCAAAGTAGTAAAATAATGGCATTAAATAAACTCTTTTTCTGGAGGGGAATGATTTCATCATTAGAAATTTCTTAGAGAAATGATTTAGAATGCCTGGATTTTATAATTGCTTTAATGATTATCTAATATTCATCTATTTTAAACTTGATTTTCTGCATACATACCTTACTACAAGATAGAAATATATTGCCCTGCCGGTTTGGCTCAGTGGATAGAACGTTGGCCTGCGGACTGAAGGGTCCCGGGCTCGATTCTGGTCAAGGGCATGTACCTTGGTTGCGGGCATATCCCCAGTGGAGGGTGTGCAGGAGGCAGCTGATCAATGTTTCTCTCTCATCGATATTTCTAACTCTCTATCTCTCTCCCTTCTTCTCTGTAAAAAAATCAATAAAATATATTTTAAAAAAAAGGTAGAAATATAATCTAACCTCATAAAATAAACAGTTTAAGAAAATGATCTCTTACAAATAATGGCTTATTATCAATCATATTCTCCTATTTTTATCATATTTTCCATCTGGACCATGTAAGAAAGCTGAGGTATCCATCAGCAGTCCAATCAAGTAGTGAACACCACAGAAAAGATCTGTTGCTAAGTTACAAATAGCGAGAGTGGTATCACCGCTTCTCTGTGAATGAGACTGAAATCTTATATATGTTCTTGTTGCAGATAACTCAAAACAAAGTAGCCACGTTCCTGTCTTCATCAGAATTCTAGATATAAATGACCATGCTCCGGAATTTGCCATGTACTATGAAACATTTGTTTGTGAAAATGCAAAACCTGGGCAGGTAAATGAAGTTGTTATAAACTTTAAAAATACTATTTCCTCTTCATAAAAGCAGATGAGTTTGCATTACTTGCACAAGTTTTTTTTTTCTTCATGCAATCTATTGTCAGCCCTTCTTGTCACATTTTTATCTCCTTTTACCAAAAATGTCACAGTGATCTGAAAAAGATGACTCTTAAAATTGTTTTTATTATGGACTCCATGCTAAAATAAGAAAATGTAATATATTTTAAGCTACTGATATGTATTCTCTCTTAAAATATGCTTAAACAATGGTCCATCTAATTTCAAAATCTCAGAGTCATATAATCAAAGGACCAATGTTGTTTATGATTAAAAATATTACTAAATTTTAAATATCGTTCAGCTGTTCTACAACCGGATATTGAGCAAGAATATTAAGACTTATGTACATTTTTTTCTGTGTAATGCTCTAGTCTACTAAAGAGTAACATTAGGTTCAGTTTGTATTAATAATCATGCACTTTAGAACCATTACATAAAAAATGCATAAGGTTACATGTCACTCTGTCAAAGCGAAAAAAAATTATGGTTAACATCAAAGCATAGAGGAAAACTATTGGACTAGTGAGTACCTAGAATAGGATGTTACCTTGAGGTGGTGCAACTGTTTGTTTTTTTAGATGAGATATTTGAAAGTAAGAATAATTAAACGACTGTGATTTCAAATAGCACAGATGGCATGCCCAGTACTAGAAAAACAGGCACCCCGATGTGTAGCTTAGTGACTTTTCCACTAAGCTGCTCAGTGGAACTTCTGTGCCCAATCTGTCCTTTGCTGCTCCAATCATGCACTCCAGCACAGCCCTGACTTACAGGGAGCATAGCTAAGCAGTTCTGTACGTTCTCTACTTTGACATTGATTTTACAGAACTTTGGAATCATTTATTTGTATCTTCTTAAACTTTCCAAATACCATTAAAAGAAAGCTAAATATAATCGTTGATGAACAAGACTAGATTGATCTAGAGACAAATGGTAGGGGAGGGAAGTTAGAGAGCAACCAAAGGACTTGTATGCGTGCATATCAGCATAACCAGTGGACACAGACACTGAGGTGGTGGGGGCTTGCCCAGGCTGGGAAGGGATGGGGGAGCGGGTCAATTGGGGAAAAAGGAGACATATGTAAAACTTTAGACAATAATAATAAAAAAGAATACTTAAAAAAAAGAAAGCTAAATAATTTGAATAAAATAGGCAGTAGGATTATAGTGATGGTGTCCCATAGCTTTAAAATGTTTTGACTTCTAATATTATATGACCTACTGCTCATTTTCCAAAACTATATTAATAGTGTTTTTAGTCTATAGAAGATGGTTATACTAAGCACTTACCTTTTTTTTTTTTAATGCATCTGTTCTCTGCCTTTGAAACCACCATTATGTAGTGTAGACAACAGATTGGTAACCAATTAATAACAAAAGAGACTGGTGCTTTCTAAAAATGTTCAAAGTGGATTGAGTTGGACGGATCACATTTTTCCTTAGGGTTGGGCACTGCACTGGCCAGGAATCAGACAACAGAGAAA